TAAAGATATCAAATTCAGCTCCCAGATACGTGTGGTTCTCATGTACGGACCCATGAAATTTTTTGGAAGGAAAATTGCTAACTCAAGAACCAGAAAAGTTGGAAAGCTGAAATCTTAATGGAATGTTTCCTGTCCAAGTACCGCATAGACAACTTCCTGAACTTCGAGGACCGGTATGTCAGAAATCTTAGCTACTAGGTTTCTGAGTGTTCTCATTACACGTCGCCAATGATTAAATAATGTACCCTCAAAAGTCGACTACACATGACCTTATAAAGCAACTTGTGCCTTCTGGAGGGAAATCCAGGTGATCCCTCCAAACATAGTGCAGCCGTGGTTTGTTTGAAGAAAGGTGCACTTTCTGGATTGCCTTCTATTAGAACTGACTAATGCAAAGCTGCAAATCCATTTTTAATGAATCACCTGCGAGGAATGTAGCAGTTGTGGCAAAGCAGTAGAGCTGAGAAGTCGTTACATTCAGCAGTAGTGGACTTTCATCTGCAAATTGCCTCAGGGCAAAAAAAAAGAAATCTTGTTACTATCGCACTCTTCCCTTTCATTTTTCTGAGCTGCGTAACAATTTTCGGTAATAACTGAGTCATCAGCAGAGTATTCCAGTTTTTATTATCGTGGCAATTAAGTGACAATAATCAAAGAGACTTTCGTATGAATTTTCTGAGTGGCCTTACGCCCCAGCTGCTCCGCTAGCGCTAGCAAATCGAAAGTGGGGGGAACGGTTTCAGCCATTTTGCCCCTTCGAAATGCTTATTGTTTACTTTGGGCCATTCCTTTATGTAGCTTCGAGTGACGCCTATATGGAATTGCGCATGCATCAGCGGCCTAGCTGAACGCCTATCGAAACAGAAATGCGGAGGATCCGGTTCCAAAAAAGGAGGAAGCAGCTCAATGAGATGAATGATGACCGCATGATCAAAACGGGTGAATGGATGACGAAGAGCGATGATTATTCGGCTTGCTTGTCAAATTCTTGAGCTATCATCGTCATCTCTATCATCATCATCGTCATCATCATCACTATCCCACTCAGTGCAAGTAACATTAGAGAAATTTCAATTCCGGTACTGCCACAGGCGGTTTTTGATCGAATAGAAGCAGCAAGGAATGGCCTTCGTACCTTCGCTCCTTTTCCCTCAAATAGCTCAAAAAAGTTCTCCCAACCAAATATAATCGTCTCCGAGCCATAGTCACTTATTTTTTCGTAAAGCAGCAGTACTTTACAATTGGCTTCAAATTCCTACCTAACATTTTTCCATAAAGTCACTACAGCCGTTGCTGATACTGTTCGGCTATTCGTTCGCAGACGATGGACGCGGTCTGTTGTTTGACTGTCACAAAAAAATCATTAATTGGCCTTATCAGCCCACGATCTTTCTGTATTGTTCATTGACCTGGCTTTTCAGCGAGTAATTTTCCGCTGAAACTTTTAGGTGCCTGTACGGGGCTGAATTTGAAATCTTTAAATTGCACTTGGAAAGGGAACGTCCGGTTCCGGTTCCCGAGTTAGCGATTCCCCGCCAAAATTTTCATATGCCCATTCGTCAGTGCCACACGTCCCTAGATGCTTAGTTTGAAACCTTTGCATTGTGCTTTGACGTGAAACATCCCATCAAAATTTCAGCCGTCCGATTTCTCAGATTATCGAGGTAACAGTTTTCTGTCAAAACCTTCACGTGTCCATACTTGAGGACCGCGTGTACTTGAAGGCTGAAGTTGATTAAGTTGTGCGTGGACGAGGAATATTGCCGTAAAATTTCAGCCTCTTAGCTTTTCTAGTTTCCGAGTTTTAAGGGAATCAGAAAGGCTGGGAGGCTGAAATCTTACGTGCTCGCACGCGGGCTCAGACTTTTGTGAAGGCTGGTATCGCTGCTCTAGGTGGCACTTGGCCGGGGAATCCATTGGCAATATTTCAACTCCGAAGCTTGCTTGGTTGCCAAGATAAAATACCCGGACAGGAGCACACGCGCGCGCACACACACACACACACAAAAACATACACGCGCACGCCATAGATCGTCAGGATGTGGGTTTTTACAATTGCATACATGCAAAAACATGAATAGTACAATTTAGACATAAGACCGCAAATATCCAGTATTAACAAAACATTGATACAAAACAGGACATATCGAAACATATCCAAAACCAAACCGGTGAAACAGAAGTACCTCATCCAAGCCATTTTATTACAGCATGAACTCGTACAAATATGTATGATCGCACTGACCCACCCGATTTGAATAATTCAAAAATATTTTTTGTATATTTCAAACACTAAATAATTAAAAGCGCACTTTGCTGATAAATCAAGAAGTTAAGCATTTACAGATCTCCTGCGTATTACTATTGGCCGTATTGCTAGTACAAACACGAGAAGTTACTACATTTGGGTGCTGTCCAGTACCAGTTCCATGCTTAAGTTGCAAATGCACACCTTGCGTACCACAGCCATGTCCACTACCTCCACCACCAGTCATTTGTCCACCTTTGCCTCCTCCATGCCCTCCACCACCCATATGTCCACCACCAATTGAATGCCCTCCACCTGTTATTTGTCCGCTACCGCCCCCACCACCCCCGCCTTGTCCACCGCCTCCTCCTGTCCTTCCATGTCCTCCTGCGGTAAGTTCTTTGTTTCGATAAAATTGACATAGCCAACAGTTTTCCTCGCATCTTTTTTGGAATCATGTGGCAGAATTTTTTAATTCCCAAAATCAGTGATTTTTTTAACTTTCCAAAATCAAAATTATGTCACTATTAAAAGCTCTTATAACTATATGCGTTTTTTGAGCATTTCAGTGGTAAATTATACGGAGTTGTATCGATCTGCAAGCGTATGCATGTAAAAGTAGCGGAAACTAGAAGCTACGATGCTTCTGATGCGTTTTTACGTCACAAAACACGTTATGACGTGACCACGGTTGCATAACTGTTGTTGTCTCTATATTAATTTGCTCAATTCTGTTAAAAAAAGATGCTGCTAGAAGACTAAAGCGTCAGTATGAAACAAGCCGTTAATTTAAAATTTTG